GTCCAGTACCTCCAACTATATTCAATATGTCTAGACTACAGGTTCTGGTCCTCACCAAAAACACCTACTTAACAGGACCCATCCCTGGCAACAAAAGCTTTAATCTGCCCATGTTGCTAAATTTCCGTATGGGTGGCAACAGTTTTCAAGGTCGTATTCCATTAGGACTTGTATCATGCAGATATCTCAAAGCAATTACCCTATCCGACAACTCTTTTGTGGACTTTATCCCAGCATGGTTTTCTAAACTGGCACAACTCACTCTCCTTAGTTTAGCTGTAAATGGCCTTGTTCGTTCAATTCCGGCTGAGCTCAGTAATCTCACTTTGCTAAATGGGCTTGATCTCTCAAGTTGCAATCTAAGTGGAAAGATCCCGGATGAATTAGCAGAAATGGGTCAGCTCACATATTTACATTTGTCAGATAATCAATTAACAGGTTTGTTTCCGGCTTTTGTCGGTAACCTATCCCGACTGTCTATGCTAGGAATACAATCGAACCATTTAACTGGATTAGTCCCGGTAATTTTCGACAACCTCAGATCCCTTAAATTTCTTGACATTGGAAGCAATCATTTCAAAGGGACACTCGATTTCCTGTCCACTCTCTCCATCTGTAGACAACTCCAGAACATCGTCATAGAAATGTATTCTTTCACCGGGAGCATTCCCGCTTACATTGGAAATCTCTCTACAATGCTAAATTCCTTTTTTGCAGACTTCAACCGTTTAATTGGCATGATCCCGGCAACAATATCAAATCTAAGTGATCTTAGTGCAGTATCTTTTCCTGGCAACCAATTTGTTGGATAATCAGCAACTAAGCTTTACTGAGGGCCAACGGCCAGTACATATACAGATGTGGTAAAGTGCAGAAAAGCCCCTTATACAATGGGGATGTACACACTGAACTATACACATCTAACACCCCCCTCAAACTCATGATGGATCAACAACACTGAGTTTGGAGAGGAAAAACCCATGCTGCGCTCGAGTCTGTGCCTTCGTGAAGAAGTCAGCCAACTGTAACTCAGAGGGCACATCGTGAAGCGCAAGAGTCTGATCCTGCACAGCAGCACGCACAAAGTGGGCATCCACACCGATGTGCTTGGTGAGCTCATGCTTCGCCGGGTCACGCGCAATACTGATAGCACTGGTACTGTCGGACAGTAGAGGAGTGGAGGTAGTAGCAGACACACCAAAATCCTCAAGTAACCACCGTAACCAGATCACCTCAGCCATCAACATAGCCATGGCTCGCAACTCAGCCTCTGTACTTGAGCGAGAAACTGCAGTCTGCTTCTTTGTCTTCCAGGCAATAAAAGAGCCACCAAGAAAGACACAGAAAGCAGACAGCGATCGTCGATCAGAGGGATCACTAGCCCAGGTAGCATCATAATAGGCCTGGAGCTCAAGAGAGCTGGAGCGGGGAAAGAAAAGGCGCTGAGAGATCGTGCCACGAAGATATCGTAGAACACGGAGAAGGTGACTATAGTGGACAGAGGTGGGGGCGGAAACAAACTGACTCAGGATGTGGACAGGATAGGAGATGTCAGGACGCGTAACAGCAAGATAGACAAGACTGCCAACGAGGTGGCGATATCGAGTGGGATTAGGAAGAGGGTCACCATCAGAGGCACGAAGCTGAACGTTGAGCTCCATAGGAGTCACAACAGTGCGCTCATCACCGAGAGCAGCGCGAGCAAGAAGATCCTGAATATATTTTTCTTGGGAGATGTAGAAGCCATTAGAGGTCGAGGAGATCTCAATCCCAAAAAAATAGTGAAGTGGACCAAGATCAGTCATGAGAAACTGGTCGCGAAGGCGAGACTTAACAAAGGCAATGTACTCAGAGTCGTCACCAGTGATGATCATGTCATCAACATAGAGAAGGAGAAGAGTCCGACCACGAGGAGACGTGTGAACAAACAACGCGAGATCATGATCACTGGGCAAGAAACCAGCGGCAGTCACCACAGAGGCAAAGCGCTCAAACCAGGCGCAAGGGGCCTGTTTAAGACCATAGAGGGAGCGCCGAAGTCTACAGACCATACCATCAGGGGCATAGTACCCCGGTGGTGGCTGCATATAAACCTCCTCATGCAACTCGCCATTGAGAAAGGCGTTCTGGACATCAAGTCGAGAGATAGACCAATGACGAACAGAAGCCACAGCAAGGAGAGTGCGGACAGTGGTCATGTGGGCCACAGGAGCGAAAGTCTCATCATAATCGCATCCCTGCTCCTGCTGAAAACCACGGGCCACAAGGCGAGCTTTGTAGCGCTCAATAGAACCATCAGAGCGAGTCTTAATCTTGTAGACCCACTTGCAGGTGATGGGACGAACACCGGAAGGGAGAGGAACCAAATCCCATGTGCATGAGCGCTCAAGGGCAGCAAGCTCTTTGGCCATCGCAAATTGCCATTCAGGATGAGTCATGGCAGTCCGATAGGAAGTGGGCTCAGCAAGAACAGAGAGACCGTACCAATCAGGAGAGTAGCGATCAGGCGGGGGGCAAGGCCGAGCACGGAGGTTATGTATCAGGGGAGGCGTGAGGGGAGGTGCACCAGAGGTGGAAGGTGCGTCAGGGGAGACATCCGCAACACGAGGGCGACGAGTATAGTGGAGAGGGAACGGTGAGAGAGGGTGACTGACTGGAGATTATGGTGGAGAGGTGGAGGAGTAGGATGGAGGAGATGGGGTCGGTGGTAAATGCGAAGGAAGGAGAGGTGCCGGAGGAGGAGGTGACACAGGAGGCACATAACAGGGTGTATCAGGAAGGAGAAGGAAAGAAAGGTTTTCCACAGAGAGACTTGAGGAAAAAGGACATGGGTAGTAAGAATGAGACTCGTCAAAAGTCACATCATGCGAGATGCACAAGCGACGACCCATGGGATCCCAACATCGATAGCCCTTGTGCTCATCACTGTAGCCAAGGAAAACACACTCAACCGACTGAGTAGTCAGTTTGGTGCGTTCTCGGGGGGCAAGAAGAACATATCATACACATACAAACATACGGAGAACTGAGTAGTCAGGAGAGCGACCAGTGAGGCACTCCATAGGAATACCACCCTGCAGAGCAGTCGATGGCTGAATGTTGACGAGATAAGTGGATACAGAGACAGCCTCAGCCCAAAAACGAGCTGGAAGGGAAGCAACAATCATCAGCGCACGAGCAGTCTCAAGCAAATGACGATGCTTACGTTCGGCAACGCCATTCTGAGCATGGGCACCAGGACATGAGAACTGGGCAAGAGTACCCTGTTCCCCAAGAAAACCACGCAACAACTGAGAGATATACTCTCCAGCGGAGTCAACACGAAAGGTACGAATGGGCGCGGATAACTGGGTGTGAACCATGGCAGCAAATCGTTTGTATATCAGAAGAACCTTGCTACGAGATTTCATGAAGTAGAGCCAAGTGTAGCGAGAGAAATCATCAATAAATAGAACATAGTAGCGATGACCACCTTTTGAATCAAAGGGAGCAGGACCCCAGACATCAGAATGAACTAAGTCAAAAGGACGCTGAGATACAGACTCACTAGTAGGTTAAGGTAACTGAGTCTGTTTGCCAATCTGCAACCATTACAATGTAAGGAGACATCTCTAGATATAGACCCTAAGAGGCCCTGACGAACTAAAGAAGACAAACAAGAGCCACAGATGTGACCAAGACGATGATGCCACTATTGGAAGGACGCAGACAAAGAGGCAGCAAGAGCATGGGAGTTGGCAGAAGTGGTGGCAGCGGAAGGAACACAAAGCCAGTCAACCTCCCGAAGACCCTCTGACTCACGGCGCCGGGGGCCAGCACCAACCAAAGCCTTGGTGCAACGATCCTGAATGGAGCAAGAGTCGGTATCAAGAATGACACGACAACCAGAATTAGTGAGTTGGGCAGTGGAAAAAAGATTCATGGTAAGGAGAGGAACATGTGAAACACTAGGAACAGAAAAGGATGGAGTGGAAAGAAGACCACGACTAGCAACAAGAAGAGATGTGCCATCGGCGGTAAGAACATTGACAGGTGATGGCACATCTCTTCCTGTTGCTAGTCGTGGTCTTCTTTCCACTCCATCCTTTTTTGTTCCTAGCGGAACCGGCGGAACAGGAGCCACCGGAGCAACATGGCAGGGCGGACAGGTCACCTCGCCAGAGAGAACACCCCACAGTAAAAGACCGCGCATATGGATACGCATGAAGCCCACAAACTCTGCATAGTTGGTGCCATCAAATATCACTGAGCAGCGAGGAACAGCCACATAGCCCGAAGAAGACATACTGAGATATCTTTCCTTCAATCAGCTCCTGTTTTTTTGGTCAACAGATCTAGAAACTAGATCAGGATCAGGGGACTCACGCGCCCCCGATTTTGGATCGGGCAGAAGGCAAGTTCGCTCGAGGGGGAAGCCGACGCGCAGAAACTGGATCCCCCGAGCAGGAGCAGCCCAAGCAGAGCTCCCGAGCGGAAGCAGGCACGCCCAAGCAGAGACCCCCGAGCGGGAGCAGCCCCTGATCGAAGATGCAGCGAAGCCGGAGATGGGCTTGGGGAGGCTGCGCCTGTACGAGACAGGGATAGCGGCGGCGGCTGAACAAGCTAGTAGATCGGGGGCCGGACGGAGAGGAGGCAGGCCTTGAGCGACCACGCACGTGCTCGGTGCAGCGGCCTGAAGAAGACGAGACAGACCGGGAGCGAGGAGGGAACAGCCGGAGACGGCCAGTGGCCGCCGGAGACTAGGTACGAGGCGCACAGAGTTGCATCGTGCGGGAGGAAGGGGCTAACCTAGCATCTGATACCATGTTGGATAATCAGCAACTAAGCTTTACTGAGGGCCAACGACTAGTACATATACAGATGTGGTAAAGTGCAGAAAAGCCCCTTATACAATGGGGATGTACACACTGAACTATACACATCTAACACAATTAAGTGGCACCATGCATTCTGTTACACTATGAGAGAATCTCGAAGAACTAGACCTAACTCAAAATAACATGTTTGGCCTGATCCCAACTCATATTGGTGCACTAACAAGATTGCATCAATTAGTCTTACAAGACAACAATTTTTCTGGTACCATACCGGATGGTGTTGGTAACCTAAGTATGCTAGAGCATCTAATGCTTGAAAATAACCATCTGTCGTCAACTATACCTGAAAGCTTATTCCATCTCAGTAACCTTCGAGAATTAAGTCTATCTCACAACTTCCTTATTGGTTCATTGCCCAGTGATTTCAGTTCCATGGAAGCAATAGACATTATAGATGTATCTGCTAACTACTTGGTTGGTAACCTCCCGACTTCATTTGCACAAAATGGACTGTTAAGCAACCTTGATCTATCACACAACATGCTGCAAGATTCAATCCCTGCCTCTTTCAAAGGGTTACTCAACCTAGAAGTTTTGAACCTATCCTGTAATAACCTTTCTGGCACTATTCCAAAGTATTTGGCCAACTTTACTTCTCTGACTAGCTTGAACCTTTATTTTAATAAGTTTCAAGGAGAGATACTAGATGGAGGTATTTTCTCAAGAAACATCAATTCACAATCTTTAATTGGAAATGTCGGGTTATGTGGTGCCCCACGTCTAGGATTTTTGCCATGCCTAGTTGATTCATTCCCATCCAACAAACATTTGGTATGTTTTTTGGTTCCAGTTCTCATGATAATACTGGGAGCTATAGCAATTATCCTATACCTAATGAACAGAAAGAAAAATAGAAAGCAACCAGATGCTATGACTTCTATGGACATGGCTGACGTGATCAGCCATAGGCTAGTCCTACCATGATATTGCTCGAGCCACTAATAATTTCAACGACGACAAGATACTTGGAGCTGGAAGTTTTGGCAAAGTTTACAAGGGCCAACTGGATGATGGTTCAGTGGTTGCAATAAAAGTGCTCACCATGCAAGTCGAGCAGGCCGTGAGGAGCTTTGATGCTGAATGTCAAGTGCTGCGAATGACTCGGCATCGCAACTTCATACGGATGATGGCTACGTGCTCCTGCGACCTGGGTGGCGACGCGCCGACCGCCGCCTTGGTGCTGCCGTTTGAGCCTCCGCCCGGCCTTCCCCTGGCCGCCGGTGCCGCTCCCCTGCCATCCGTCGACCCTGCTCCCCTGGCCGGAACCTCGCTGCCTCCGCCTCCCCAGGCCGTTGCCGCCCCCGCCGCGACTGTCGCGCTGCTGCGCTAGGCCGATTTGGCTGAGGACGATGACGCCGCTGCCGGCCGCCCCATCGTCTGGCGAGACCTGTCGGCCCGCCGCACGGCGCCTCGGCCGGGGCTGGTGGCCTCGCCGCGGCACGGCTGCCCGTCCTCCCCTTCGGCTCGCCGGCCTCCTCCTCTCCCCCTTCTGCCGACCCCGCGCAAAAGGGCCTCTCTTGGGTCCAGGACCGCTCGCCGCCACCGTGCTCCGGCGTGGGGTGTCGCGGGGCGGTCCGACCTGGGCAGTGCTCGGCGCTCTTGGCGCCCCGCCGCGGTCACTGGCCGGCACATCACGTCTTCGCCGGCGGCTGCTTCTGGTCGGCCGTCGTTCCCCCTTCCGCCCGTTCATAGCCGAGTTTGGATTCTCCTCGCTCCGGTTCTCCCCCTCCCAGCCCCTCCGCCGCCCTTGGCTCGCCGTGGCACCTAGGCTGACGCCGGCGCCGGCCGCGACGGTGGCTGCAACGTCGGGGGAAACCCTAGGTGCTGCCGCCCCGCCCGCTGGCTGGGCCGCGCCGCTGAGGGCCAGAAGGCGCCTGGGCCTGGCGCTGGGCCCCCACCTAGTGCGGCTATGCCTTCGGGCCAGCCCACTTTGGCACGTTCCTGGGCCGGTCCGACCGGCCCGGCGATTCGGCCTATTTGGATGCCGAGCGGTTTCCCCAGGCACCCCATTTGGCCCCCTCCCACCTCTGTTCGAACCCTAGCCCGCACCCCATCCTCCCCCGCCGTCGGCGACGTCCCCCTCCCCGCCGTCGCCCCCCGCCGGCATGACCCGAGACTGGCATGACGCGGCCCCGCGGCCCAAACGCCGCGCTGATGAGCGCAGGCCCGACGACGCCCGCGTGGACGACCGGCGTGACGACCGGCACAACTCCTCCCGCCCCTCCCCCGACGCCCTTCGTCATGAGGCCGACCTTCGCCGGCAACTCACTGGCCGCGGTGACTGCCGGTCACCTCCTCGCGAGGCTCGCCGGTCCCCTCCTCGCCGCTCGCCCGGCCGGTCGGACCTCCGGGGCCGGTCCCGTTCGCCGCCTCCCACCTCCGAGTGGCGTGACCAGCGCCGCCGCTCGCCCTTCCGGGTTCGCCTGCGGGACTCCAGTCGCTCCCCTGCGCGCTCCGGTCGCCCCCGGTCTCCTGACCGCTCCCAGGCCGCGGCCCTGCAAGGCCCTCCGCCCCCCGCTGCCCAACCTCACC